CTTTCCTCTCTGAATTTCATCCACTTAGGCTTTTTTAAAGAGAACATTCATAGAATCATAGAATCACAGAATGGTTTGGGTTGGAAGGGACCTAAAAGATCTAGTTCCAACCCCCCTGCCATGAGCAGGGACACCCCCCACTAGATCAGGTTGCTCAAAGCCTCATCCAGCCTGGCTTTGAACACTCCCAGGGAGGGGGCAGCCACAACTTCCTTGGGCAACCTGTTCCAGGGGCTGACCATCATGTTATAATGTTACTACGTGCTATGCTATTACTTCCTTTTTTAAATCATATTTTAGGTATAATAAGTATTATCCTGTGCAGAAGTTTTCTAATTGCCTATCTGGTTTTGTAACTCTAGTAAACAATTAGTGCTATACTTTACATTGCCACTGCAAGCACTGGTGTCCCTGGTCTTATGTCACATTTCAGACTGGTCTTATGTCACGCTTCAGAGTGGTCTTAGGTAAAGAGATTTGTCCAGGTCCCCTAGGCTTGTCTTGGCACTCTCTTGATTTTTCCCCACTTGCTTTCCAAACCAAGGACTCCCTGCAGAATCTGCCTTCTCTGCTCCCTGCTTGTCATAAGATTGCTGTGGGTGACTGCTGCTTTCTGCCTGCAAACCTTTACTGCTTACTGCCTTCCAGGGATGAGCTTAAACGGCACTATAACCTGGGTCAGTACTGGGTAGAGGTGGAGATGGAAGACTTGGCCAGCTTTGATGAAGATCTTGCTGACTATCTGTACAAGCAACCAGCGGAGCACCTGCAGCTGGTAAGGATGGAGAAGGTTGGCAACCTGGTGTGTTCACACTGTGAGAGGAGCCCTGACAATACAGTGTAATATAGCCATAATAGCTTAGTTGTTCCCTTTGTAGTTGGAAGAAGCAGCAAAAGAAGTCGCAGATGAAGTCACCCGTCCTCGTCCTTCAGGGGAGGAAACTCTCCAAGACATTCAGGTCATGTTGAGATCAGATGCCAATGCAGCCAACATCCGCAGCCTGAAGGTGAGGTGAATCCACCGCTGTGCTGAGCAGTGGGTGGCAGAGCTTGCTCCTGTGTGAGTGTGAAGCAGGGAAGTTTTTGGTACTTGATCCATAGTTCAGGACATGGGTTCTAGACTAATTTGCAAGCAGGGATATTCTGCAGCTTAAATCTGACTGCAAAGGACTGTTATTACTGATTGCTGCCGGGGGCCCGTTATTGCTACTAGTGATGTTCTGCATGGAGTGTTCTGTCCTTTTCTCTTTTGTTCTGAAGTCAGCGTGGCTTAAGTCATGCACCCTTCCCCTGTTACTCTAGAGCAAGAGAATGACATTGGCCAGAAGCACAGGCTTTTTGTGTTCTGGTACCTTAGTCCCATGAATGTGGGAAATGCAGCTAAGAAAAAACTGTGTTTCTTTAATGTCTTTAGTTTCCCATCCATCCCCCAGTGATGACTTCTCACCTTCCCTTCACCTTTTCCTTTTCAGTCTGACCAGATGTCCCACCTTGTGAAGATCCCTGGGATTGTAATTGCAGCAACCCCTGTGAGAGCCAAAGCCACCAAAATAGCCATCCAGTGCCGCAGCTGCCGTAACACCATCAGCAACATTGCGGTGCGCCCAGGCCTGGAGGGTTACGCTCTCCCCAGGAAATGCAACACGTAAGGGCTGACATGGGGATGCATGCAGCAGGCTGGTGGGGGAAAAAAAAGCTGTGTCCCCTCCTTCTGTCCCCCCTCCATCCCATGTGCACTGCATGGGGTCAGCTCCCTGTTGCACAAGGCAGAAGCATCTGCGCTGCTCTCTGCCTCTTCCCTTTGTGTTGTTCTTGTGCCTGCATGTACCCGTGGCTGGCAGGTTTCAGCTCCATCCATCTGCAGTCACACTGGTTGTGATGCTGCATGACCAGTGCTGCAAGCAGCGTTCAGCAGCCATATCCAGGGAGTTCTCTTTGTCTGTAGGGCATTTTGCCTGTTGTACCTAAAGGTTTGTTCCTGCCTCCAGCTGTCCCATAATACTGCATTAAGCTGCTCTCCTAACTTCCTATTAAGCTCTTATCTTTTTCAAACAAACTTCTTGCTTCTGTGTTTCCTCTCCCCAGGGACTGTTTTGTGTTACCCTCTGTAGGGAGGTACTGCTAACCTTCAACTCCTGCTTTACAGCTCTTGATGCCCACACAAACTGTGAGCATTAGGTTGCCGCTGTGGCAGCTCTCGCACCCCCCACGCCCCCCAATCATGGTGGGTTGTGTCTTTGAGCTCATGCCTGACAGTGTTTATTTTCTGCGACTTATCTCTCACACAGCTTGAGAGGCCTTTGGGAAAGGGATCATTCTTCCACATGGTCTGTGCAGTGCCTCTCTCCTGATCCTTGACTGCACAAGTGCATCTGCAGTCTTTGTTACCCTCCCCGAAAGCCCTGTCCCTGCCTGCATGGAGCCAGGCATCAGTAGTGATGTATTGAGATGGCAGCAGACGTGGAGGTGCTCCTTGTCTCGGAGAGCTCGTGGTCTAGCAAGGCAGGCACATCTCGAGAGACTGGGAGGTTGATGGCAGCCTTGTCACATCACTAATTGCTTTCTCACCAGAAACCACTTAACATTTGCTTCGTACGTGAGGTTATAAAGAAAAATGCCCTGCCATGTCACTGAGTCTATACTGTTATCTTCTGTGTAATTAATGAATTACCTTCCTCCCTGCTTTTAGCTAGCAGGGAAGAGGGAGGAGGCAGGATGAGTATTCAGGCAAGTATCACCCTGTCTTTGGCTTGTTCTCATGGCTGTTTTGGCAGCTGTTGAAGAGAAGACATAGGGCTTGGTGAGCCTTTGGTTCGGCCCTGTGTGACTGCTGTTCTCACCTGCTGAGTACCACTTGGAGGGCCAGCTGCTCTGGGCTCTGTCACCACTGTCCCCTCTACAGGGCTTTCCCCGGGGCGGCTCCTCAGAGCCAGCAGCCTTCTTCCCTGATTGATCTCTCTGCACAGAGAACAAGCTGGCCGCCCAAAGTGCCCGCTGGACCCCTATTTCATCATGCCGGATAAGTGCAAGTGCGTGGACTTCCAGGTGCTGAAGCTGCAGGAGTCCCCAGATGCTGTGCCCCATGGGGAGATGCCCCGGCACTTGCAACTGTACTGCGACAGGTACCAGTGTGGTCTCCCTCCCCCACACCCCGCAGGGCTAGCTGGTGTTGCTGGTGCCATCCTTTCCCCTGCTACCATCCTTTGCTTTCCCCTTCCTCCTCTTAGGTACCTGTGTGACAAAGTTGTCCCAGGGAACAGAGTCACTATAATGGGCATCTATTCCATCAAGAAGTCTGCCCAGAGCAAGAACAGAAGCCGTGACAATGTGGGTGTGGGCATCCGAAGTGCTTATATCCGTGTGGTGGGCATCCAGGTGGACGTGGAGGGCTCAGGTGAGGGCTGCTCTTGGTGCCTGTCTGGTCTGTGTTGATACCCTGGTGTTTGGAGAGTCCCCTCCCTTAACAAGGCAGTCCCTCAAAAGGACTGTATGAAATAACAGCCTGAATCCTTCTCTGCTGTTTATATAGCAGAAGGTTCAAGCCAGTCCAGGGCTTTGGCTTGCCCCCGGTGATCTGTGCTCAGGTGTCCTGTGTGACTCTTTTCAGAGGTATTAAATGAGGAGGCTTCAGCCTGAGTCCTCCAGGGTATTTAAGTGCTTTTATCTTATTGATCTTAGTGGGAATCTGCTAATCCATCCTTGAGGGTCTGGGCTGAAGTTGATGGTTAAAATTGAGCTATGTATTTAAAACATGGTCTTGACTGTAATTCTCCCTCTGGTTCTTCCAGAGCTGCTCTGCCCAAGATCCTTGTTTTTTCCTGCCTGCCTCGCTGGGATAGCAAACAGCTGCCCTCTACACCTTCCCACCTGGTGGCACTTGCCATGATCTTCAGGAAGGGATTTTGGTGCTAGTGGGTGTAGGAGGAATAGTGTCGTTTACCTAAAAACACCTATTTGTTTGCTGTTGCTTCATTCTTCTCTTCCCTGTACAGGACACAGCTTTGCTGGCTCAGTGACCCCTCAAGAAGAGGAGGAACTTCGTCGCCTTGCTGCCATGCCCAACATCTATGAGACTATTGCCAAGAGCATCGCACCCTCCATCTACGGCAGCACTGACATCAAGAAGGCCATTGCCTGCCTCTTATTTGGAGGCTCTCGCAAGAGGTGAGGAAAAGCCAACCTGGTGGAGAGAGGGTGTCATCCACAGTACAAAGGGGTGGAGAGAGGGTGTCATTCACAGTACAAAGGGGTGGAGAGGGTGTCATTCACAGTACAAAGCCTTCTTACAGTCTTCTGGTGGTGCTACCAACCACCTGCCACTTGTCAGCAATGCTTGGTTATCAAAAGGCAAGCTCACCATCATTCCTCCCTCTCTTTTCCCACCCTGTGGCTCCAGGCTTCCAGATGGACTGACCCGCAGAGGCGACATCAACTTACTGATGCTGGGTGACCCTGGCACAGCCAAATCCCAGCTGCTGAAATTTGTCGAGAAGTGTTCACCCATTGGGGTAGGTGGTTTGAGGTGTCTGCTTGTACTGTGGCTTGTTTCTTCCTTCTGCTCCTTGCATAGCACCCAAGACCAGACCGTGGTCACAGCAGATATCTGCCTCTGCATCCGCAGTTCTACTGGTTGCCAGAAGTGCGAACTCTCATTTCTGGTGCTAGCCTGGAAGAGATGGGGCATAGGACAGGGAACAAGGGAGGGAAGGGGAAGCAGATGGTACCTTTCCATTATGATATGAGCTGGGCTATTTGCAGACATCCAAAGACGTGAGTGGTGCTGTTATTTATTGTTGAGATTCAATCAGTGAAGAGATTGGTTGCTCAGGCCAGATGAAGCTGACTGTGTCTCAGGCACGGACCTCCAGGCTGAGCCAGGCATGAAATGATATTTTCAGCTGTGATTTCTTGTAGTCTCCATTAAACTCAGCCTCTGACGGTGTTCTTCCCTGGAGGGGGAAAACAAAGCTAATGCAGCAGCCCACTGAACAATGAATCACTCCCTGTTCTGTACTTAATACCTGTATTTGCATGTCTGCAAGCCTTCTGGTGCGTCACAGCGGCTTAGTCCAAGGCCCAGGACTATGCAGTAGTCTTGCTTTTTACCCAGCAGGTCTGCTTTTGGCATGTTCTGAGAGGTTTTCCTGGAGGGTCTGGGTTTGTGTTTCCTCCAGCAGCTCTGGATTTTGCAGTGCTGAGGGTGCTTTGCCCTCCGGCTGGAGCAGTGGGCTCCTGGGTCCCACAGTGGCTGATGTGCTGTCCCCTTCCTTGTCCTGCACGCTGCTAGGTGTACACCTCGGGAAAAGGCAGCAGTGCTGCTGGCTTGACGGCCTCGGTGATCCGCGACCCTTCCTCCAGGAGCTTCTTCATGGAGGGAGGAGCCATGGTGCTGGCGGACGGGGGAGTGGTGTGCATCGATGAGTTCGATAAGGTACCCGCGGGGGAGCGGGGAAGAGAGCCCAGGAGAAAGGGAGATTCTTCTGAAACTGCCTCGCTTTCTTTCGGGGAAGGTCAGGGGATGGGGCTGCAGGGAAATTCTGGTTACATGCTGTACTCTTGAGCAGAAGTCCTTGGAGGTCAGCATCAGGGGGTGTGTCGCTGAGGTCCGGCAGTGGTGACTGATAATGACTTTTTTTTTTTTTTTTTCCCACTCCACCTCATTTCTTCCACCTTGGATGAGAAGATGCGGGAGGATGACCGCGTGGCCATCCACGAGGCCATGGAGCAGCAGACCATCTCCATTGCTAAGGTGAGGTGTGAATGCATGTTGCCCCAAGGCAGGAGCTTGACTTGCCACCGGGTTTCCTTGAGAGCCCAGCAACCATCAGTCACGTGTCTTTTGCCAGAATTTCTCTTTTTAGAGTGGCTTGTCCAGGAAGTGGTTTTGATGGTTAATGATTTCTCTGATCTGAGGCTGGTCAGCCCTGCCTCTAGGCTTTGCATCATCTTCTCTCAGACAGCCTGAACTTCAGCAGCACTGAAACGAGCTTCCTCTGCTCTGCCTGTCCTCTGCTTCTCTAGATGTAGTAGTTCTGCTGATATCCTTGTGTCACAGCCTCGTGTCACTTCTTTTTCTTCCTTCCCACTGCTCTCCACACCCTCAGAAGATCCACAGAAACTGCCTGACATCCTCATCCCCAGCTGCCCAGTTTCTGTCTTGGGTTGCAAACTTGGTGATAGTCTTGTGTGTCCTTGCCCTTGATGGGAGCTTTTAAATTAAGTTACTCAGTGCTCAAGTCTCAGATGAAGCCAGTCCTCCTCCAGAAGGACATGTGGGTCCAGCCCCATGTAGCTCCTGTGCTGGTCCCTCTGCAGTGTGGAACCATTACAGAGCAATTGGGTGCTACTTAAAGGATTCTAGTTAAAAGCAAACTGCTTTGGATCTTTAACTATGAGGTAATGGCCTTCTAGCCCTGCTGTGACATGGACTTGGTCTTGACCCCGTCTATTTCTCCTTCCCGCCACAGGCAGGAATCACAACCACACTGAACTCCCGCTGCTCAGTGCTGGCAGCTGCCAACTCTGTCTTCGGGCGCTGGGACGAGACCAAGGGCGAGGAGAACATTGATTTTATGCCCACTATCCTGTCCCGATTTGACATGATCTTCATTGTCAAGGATGAGCACAACGTGGAGCGAGACATGGTGGGCTGGGGTGCTTGGGTGCAGCTGGGACTCGTGGTGCCCCATTTCTTGGTAGAGGGAGGGAGACAGTGGGGTTTCCAAATGCCTGACTGCTCCCTGTTCTACTAGACACTGGCCAAGCATGTGATGTCCTTACACGTGAGTGCCTTGACACAGACTGAGGCTGTGGAGGGCGAGATCGAGCTGAACAAGCTGAAGAAGCTCATCTCCTTCTGTCGGACGTGAGTGAGGCATGACTTTGGCAGTTCCTGGGCTGCATGGTGGGAGGCAGTGGTGAGAAGCGAACAGCACAGCTGATATTTGCAAGCACTCTATCTAGGTGACCTTTTTTTAACTTCTGCCTTGAAAAAAGGGAAGCGAGAGCAGCTTGCAGCCGTGCTGCAGCATGGCCCAAGGAAGCAAGGGGTGGCTGAGGACCCCCTGCCTGGGGGACCTTTCCCAGTGACAGTGTCTCTAGCTTTTGTCTCCCCTTGCAGGAAGTGTGGCCCTCGGCTGTCAGCAGCGGCAGCTGAGAAGCTGAAGAACCGCTACATCCTGATGCGGAGTGGCACTCGCCAGCATG